GAGGAAGAATAGGCTGGTAGGGCGGAGAGAAGGGCTCGTCCTCCCTCCCACCTCCCCCCTCCGTCTGTCCCTCCTCCACGCTCACCCTCCTCTCACTGCCGCCGCCAAAGCAAGCTCCTGATGCCCGGGCGCGGCTGGGGAGAGCCGGCGAAGGGGAGGAGGGAGAGGGAGGCAACGGGGTGAGGGGATGGGCGGGATAGGGGGAAAGATGGGAGGGAGGGATGAGGGAGGGAAGTAGCTGCGAGTTCGGCGAATGAGCTGTGAATTCTCGGCGATCAATCTGCGGGCAGCGCTCGCTGATCTGGAAGCAGCGGTGGTCCCGAGCGTCGCGAAGCAGGGGCTCACTGCGCTCGGCGTCAGCGCGGTCCAGGCCCTCGGCTGGGCTGGCCGGCGAGCCCCGCAGGTGGCGCATGCTGGTGCTGGAGGTCCCCGCCGCGGGCAGGCTGGGGTGGAGGTTCCCACCGTCGGGTGGCGGCAGGCCGGCGCTCTCAGTGGCTCTGGAGGGAGGGGTGAAGGCTGGGGGGGATGGATGGATGGAAAGGAGGGCGCGAGCTGGCGAGGGGGAAGGGGGGAGAGAGGGACGGAAAGCTGGCGGAATGGGGGCGAAAGGACGGAAAAGTGGGAGGGGGAGAGGGGGAGGGGAGGGAGGGAGGGAGGAGGATGCAGAGGGATGGGGGGGTGAGAGAGGGAGGAGGATGAGGAGTAAAGAAAGTGAGGGGAGCAGAATGAGGATTGATAAAGAGGAGGAGTGGGAGGAGGAGGAAGAGGAGGAGGAGGAGGAGAGGAGGAGGAGGAGGAGGAGGGGAGGAGGAGGAGGAGGAGAGGAGGAGAGGAGGAGGGAGGAGGAGGAGGGAGGAGAGGGAGGAGGAGGAGGGAGGAGGGAGGAGGGAGGAGGGAGGAGGGGGAAGGGAGGAGGGAGGAGGGAGGAGGTAGGAGGGAGGAGGGAGGAGGGAGGAGGAGGAGGAGGAGGAGGAGGAGGAGAGGAGGAGGAGGAGGAGAGGAGGGAGGAGAGAGGAGGGAGGAGGAGGAGGAGGAGAGGGAGGAGGAGAGGAGGAGGAGGAGGAGGAGAGGAGGAGGAGAGGAGGAGGATGATGATGATGATGATGATGATCGAGGAGGAGGAGGAGGAGGAGGGGAATGAGGACGAGGAGGAGGCAGGACGGAGGAGGAGGAGGAGGAGGAGGAGGAGGAGGAGAAGGAGGAGGAGGAGGAGGAGGAGGAGGAGGAGGAGGAGGAGGAGGGGGAGGACCGGCAGGGGCTCTGGCGGCCCACAGCAATCTTTGTTCGTCGGGCCTTCGGTTCTAGACTGGATGGGGGCAAAGTGGAGGCCAATCCACAAGAAACTTTCCACAAGCAATCCAACCCTGAGACCCCAGGACGTCCACTGATTGCTGGTGTGGGAACGTCGCGCTTCCCAAAACCATCGAAGCCGAAGAAACCCAGGGCACCCTGGAGGCAAGCAGGGTGTTTCTTGGCATGGGTCGCACCTGTAAAGTAAGGTGCGTCGCATCGGGCGTCGGATGCCCCGCACGGTAGGAACAGACGCACGGGGGGCGTGGGCGCCAGAGCTCAAAGGGGCGTATCCGAAATGCGCCTCGGCGCGCACTCGGCAAGAGTGTGGTCCACGTGCGCAGGCGCCACGGGGGCGCCGACAACGCGCCCAGCATCACCGATTTCCTCCAGGTCTTTGGCGGATTTCAGCAATCTCGCCTGTTCGGGCTTTCGCCGCTCCAAGACGGCCCAAACGGCTTCCAAGACCGCCCCAAGATGACCCAGGACCCCCATCTGGGCCTAGACGACCCAAGAGGGCCCCAAGACGGCCC